CCTGACTTTAGGGCCGGTGCTGTATCCACTGTGCCACCTGGCTTCCCCAAATTTTTCTAATAATTAGAAAACTTCAGAAATGGAACAGGTTGTTTTGGAAGGTGGGAGTAAAGTTACCTGTCATTTGAGTAAGTTAAGAAGAGGTTGTCAGTGATGCTTTAGAAGGGATTCTTTAGTTAAAAATTGTCTTTACATATAATTGGAAAAAATAAAATAATATTAAAAATACTATAAAAATACTACTAAAATTACTATTAAATACTATTAAAAAAAATAAGGCATTCTTTAATGGGGTGGGAAGTTTGATGAGATGACCCCTCAAGGGTCTTTCCAAGTTTGATTTTCTGATTTTTTTTTCCATATAAGGCCCATCTCCAGACAGATAGTTCAGCATTCTGACCACTAGAGGGTACTGCCTTCTACAGTCTAGTAAGAGTTGGTGCCACTAGAAATTCTATCATCCAGAAGGCTGTGTCTCTGCCCAGCTCTAGAGTGGTTCAATTTCAGCCTGGTGGTAGGTTGGAAGTTCTCCTGAGTATTTCTACCAATGATGCTAGGGAGGAATCCTGCTCCAGGTATTAGCAAAGCCCCATGCTCTCCCTTTGTAACATCAACATATACATCCCCTCCTCAAAGAAAGACAGAACATTATTGCCTCGGAACAGCAGAAATAAACTTGGGGTAAAGTAGTTGTCCTCCTACTGTCTAATTTGAGAAGACCCCAGGAAAGACCCGACCTCCAGGGTCTGAGGTTCAGATTGAGTGAAGTGCAAAGACCTCCAGGCCAACTCTGCAGAATCAATAAACAACAAGCCCTGGGGGCAGCTGAGTTGACAGGCAGCCTCCGCCTTAGAAACTTTCATTTTGCTGACAGTGTCGGGGTCTGATAGCTGATTAGGAAAAGATTGAAGGACCTTTCACTGTCAAGGGATGCCAAGCACAGCTGTGTTGACCAAAAACAGGCAGGGCTTTGGCTGCGGGGAGAAGGAGCTAGCACACACATGGTGAGTGCAGTAGTAAGGGGCGAGGACCCTGTGGGCATTTGCAGAAGAGCAGAGTCCCTGGTTTCGGTGTCAGGGCAGAAAGGACAGTTGTAGTTTGCAGCCACCTGAGGTACCACAGGGAGCATGATCAGTGTGTCTGGGGACCCTAGCCGTGGCTTAGGAGTGGAGAGGAGGAACCCAAGGTTGGGACCCAAGATGGACCTCAGAAAATAACAGTAAGAAGGATCTGAGGCTTAGGGCATCATTCCCCATACCTCTGGACTACACCTTGATTAAACTAATAGCTGCTAAAAACAAAATAAAAGGAAGAAAAACACAAATGAATAAGCAAAGAAGAACCCAACCATAGTTACTATGGGGATGGAGAAGATCTGGGTTCATATTCAGAGGAAGATAATGGAGCTACAAAAACCACTCCTTTTTCAATGAGAAACGTTAAATGGTCCCAAGCACAAAAAGAATTCTTGGAAGAACTTAAAAAGGACTTTAAAAATCAAGTAAGAGAGATCAAGGAAAAATTAGGGGAAAAAAATAAGAACAATCCAAGAAAATCAAGAAAATTATGAAAAGAAAGTCAACCAACTTGAAATAGAGAATTGAAAACTTAAGGAAGAAAATAATTCCTTGAAAACTAGAATTGGGAAAGGGAAGCTAATGATGTTCTAAGACACCAAGAAATCATAAAACAAAATCAAAGGGATGAAGAAAATCAAAGAGAAAGTGAAACATCTCATCAGAAAAACCACTGATCTGGAGAACAGATTGAGGAGAAATAATGTAAGAATAGTTGGACTACCCAAAAATTATGATGAAAAGAAAAAGAATCTTGATACAGTATTACAAGAAATTATCAAGGAGTATTGCCCTGAAGTTCTAGAACAAAAAAGCAAAGTAGAAATAGAAAAAAATCCACCAATCACCACCTGAAAGAGATCCCAAGAAGAAAACTTACAGGAATATCATAACCAAGTTTCAAAGCTCCCAGATTAAGAAAAAAATATTGTAAGCAACAAGAAAAAACCAATTTAAATATTATGGAGCTACAATAAGGATTACACAAGACCTAGCAGCTACTATTTGAAGGACCATATTCCGTAGAGCAAAAGAGCTAGGATTATAACCAAGGGTAATTTACTCAGCAGAGTTAAGTATAATCCTGAAAGAAAAAAAAAAAAGGACATTTAACAAACTGAAAGACGTTCAGGTTTTTGTGATAAAAACCCCACAACTTAAGGGAAAATTCAACATATAACATTCAGGAGAAATATAAGGTAAACGTTATAGATCAATTATAAAGGACTTGGTAAGGTCAAATATTAGCAGGACTCTTATGATTGTCATTATTTGGGTAATTTGGAAGAAAGGCTTGGGCTGAGCTGAGTATGATGGGATAATTCTAAAAAAAATAAAACTGTGTAGGGAGAGATAAAAAGGAGCAATTATCTCATACAAATGAGGCATACAAGGAAAAGCTGATACAGAAGAAGCTAGTGGGGGGAAGGCGGGTTGTGCTGGAACTTTACTCTCATTGGGAATGGGTTAAAAAGGGAACAACATTTATACCTAGAAGGATATAAAAGTCTTCTAAATTCACAAAGAAATTGGAGGGCTGGCTACGGTAAGGAATAAGAGGGCAAGGTAGCACATAGAAGTAAAGCAGAGGAGTGAGGTGGGATAGGGTAGAAACGGTGAGAAGGATAGTGAGGAAAAATAGGAAGGAGGAAAATATATAAGTAATTGTAGCTTAGAATGCGAATGGGACAAATTTACCCATAAAATGGAAATGGATGGCAGATTAAAAATTTGAATTCAATGAGGTGTTGCTTTCAGGAAACATTATAAAAATGAGAGATACACACAAAGATAAGAAAAAGGGCAGGAATAGAATTTAGTATGTAAAAAAAAAAGCAAAGATAGTAATCATGATCTCAGACAAAGTTAAAGTTAAAATAGGTTTAATCAAAAGTGAAAAACAGAGAAACTACACTGAGTCAGCAATATTATTCAATATTGTTTTAGACCATTTAAAATACCTGAGTGTACATCTGCCAAAATAAACACAGGAACTATATGAACATAAATATACAACACTTTTTATACAAATAAACCCAGATCAGAATAATTGAAGTAATATTTATCATTCGTGGGTAGGTAAAGCCAATATAAGTTTTTAAATGACAATTTACCTAACTAATCTATTTATTCAATGTCATCCCAATTACATTACTAAAAAATTATTTTACTGAGTTATAAAAAATAACGAAGTTTATTTGGAAGAACAAAAGGTCAGGAACTTAAAAAAAATAACAAGGAAAAAAGATGTAAAAGAAGTAGATTCAGCAGTATCAGACCTTAAACTGTATTAAACGGTGAGAACATTGTTGAAATGTAAAAAGGATAATTTCAATTATTTTAAAATAAAATTTTCTTGCATAAATAAAGCAGATGTAGCCAAGAACAGGAGGAATGCAGAAAATTGGCAGGAAAACTTTCATAGACAATCTCTCAGATAGGATGTGATTTGGGTTGGAATATTACTGTGGTGTAGGAAATGATGAGCTGGTTGATTTAGAAAAACATGGAAAGACTTGGACTTAGGAAGGAAGATGGTATCCACCATCAGAGACAGATGATGAGAGTGTAAATATGTGTATGTTTATTAATACATATATATATATGTATGTATCCATGCTTAGTTATAACCTTCTTTGCATAGGGAAGAAAGGGGGAAAAGTAAAAAGTATACAGTAGAGAACGAAGAAAACTAATAAGGAAGCAAAGAAAAGCTGGGCAGCTTTGAAAACAGTGTATTATTTATTATATAAGTTTTCTTGAAATGTAAATTTATTGTTTTATATTGAATCCTCTCTTATGGTCTCCTGTGTACATAGCAATGTTTTTTTTCCCCCCTTTTCTCATTTTGTATTTAAGTTTAAAATAAAAAAAAACATTTATCAAAATAAAAGTGAAAACAATACCTAAGCACCAGTCAATAGGCCTATGTATTTCAAGCATTCAGTACAACCTTTTGAAGTTATAAAGCAATCAGACCACTAGCTGTGGAGGATGCAGAGCCATATTTTTCAGATTTTCAGATTTTTCCAGTGCTTTCAGAGTACACCATTCAGGAGATTTAGGAAAAATGCTCTCTCTCCTACCACTTCTTCCCCAGATACATACTGCCTGAAATGTTCAAGCATCAAAAAGTTCTTTCTCTCACAATCCACAGACCTACCTGGATCAACATCATGGACCCAGAGATGTGAAGTCCCTTAAGTATTGGCAGAGTTTACCCAGACCAGTGAGTCTGTCTCCCTCTCTGGCAATGGTGGAGGTGACAATGAGGATGGAGGCGGTTATAGAAGAGCATGACAGTTGTTCCCTAAAGTTTAGAGGATCGTGCCCCAAATCTGGCCTGATATCTTCCCCATTAAGTAGCCCTCCCTCCTACATCATTCATCCTGGCTGATCATTCAAATTACAGCAAAAAGAATTTAGGTTAGACCTAAGAAAGTCTCCTGATAGCCATTCTGTCAAAAATAGGAGTGCCTACTATGTGTGTTAAATAGAATGTCCTGATAGGTTTATGGAGGGAAGGATCACTTTTAGCTGTGGGGGTAAGGAAGGCTTCATAGAAGAGGTGACATGTGACTTGGATTTTAAAGGAAGGAAGGGATGGCAAGGGATGAAAGTGGGATGAGGGAGGAGGGCAGGAGTCCATTCTAGGCACAGTGAAAAGCACAGGGAAGATTTGGAGGTAGGAGAGGGCAAGTCTGGGGAGTATAGGAAGGGAAGTACCACGAAATAAAAGCTTGGAAGGTAGATTGAATCCAGATTAAGGAGGGAAAGCCTTGACTGGCAGACTAAGAAGTGTGGTCTTTATTTAATGAGCCATGGGATGCCACTGTAAGTGGCTGTCCTTGTGTTATTTGCCCTCCTCTCTGCCCTTGTCTCCCAGCTCCCCATTGCAAACCCAGCACATTGTTACCTCTTTACCTTAGATCCAGAGTTGTGCTTCTTTGCTGTCAGGTTGGGGGGCTCTGGCAACAGAACACTCAATTTGAACTTACTCCCACCCGTCCTCCACTACGACTTCCTTTATTTCTGTCACGTGTTTGTGTCTGTGTTAGCTAGTAGATGCTGACTTCAAAACCACAGAGGATGCCTTTGGCTATCAAGGGTCTTGTTACTTCTTTCTTCCACTTTCGCCCCTTTTGTCTTCACTAAGTATTTCCACCCCTCCTCCACTTCTTCCTTTTACTTTTCCTGCAGCTCCTCCTTTTCTTCTTCCTTTCTTTAGCCTAGGAGTAGATACTGTCCTATGTGGTACAATTATAGACTGTTACAGAATGGAAGGAGGCTTAGAGGTCATCTAATGAGTCCTTTTATTTTATAGGTGAGGAAACTGAGGCTCTGAGAGGGGACAGCCAGGCTTCCAGTAAGTGGGAGAGCCAAGACCTGAACCCAGGCCATTTGATTACAAATTTAGGGCTCTTTCACTTATGCCAGTGTAGTTTCAGGGAGCTAAAATACTTTTGCCACCTGTTCCTTGATGACTGAAATTCCTTAAAGAAGATATAAAACCTTTCTTGCCTCAAGGAGAAGATAAGGCATAAAGCACAAATACACATGGGAGAGGTAACACATACGCTTAAATTCACCTTAAGCCTTAGATACCTAACACAGATCCTTTCCTATGAGCAAATTTCAACAAGGGTTGGGGTGGGATAGAATGAAAAGATCAAAGAACATGATAGGCCTGAAGTTGGAGGATACAAAGGGAAGATACAGAAAAGGGAGAGTGGGGAGCATCATAGGTTTGCTTCATGACTTTTTGACCGCTGGTCATGGAGGAGGTAGTTTGGTCCAATGGAGAGTGGACGGTATGCTGAATTTGGACTTCCCCGGGTTAGTTCTGGGGGAACATGATAGGTGTTATTTCAAGGTTTTGAAGGACTGCCATGTGGAAGGAGTGGATTTGTTCTCCAGGACTCCAGAGGGCAAAACTAGGAGGCGAAATTAGACTCGATGTCAGGAAAACCTTCCTAAGAAGTGGAATGGGCCACCTTAGGAGATAGCGGGGCTCCCTCCCCTCGACAGAGGTCCATAAACAAAGGTTTGATGACTCTTCCAGCTCTGAGATTTTGTGCTGGTAGGGCTAGATAACCGCCCATCTGATATCTTCCAGGGATTCTTTTTAAGGTATGAGTTGGACTCAGTGGCCTCGGAAATTCTGGGAAGTCATCCCTCCCCCAACAACCATGAGGGCAGTCCAATGTCTCCTGTATCCCTCCTGGCACTGAGCACGGTGCTAGGTGAGGGGCGCTCAATCCATGTGTGCTAAATTGAATTTAGGAAATAGAGAGTTTGAGGGAGATACGAGACATTGCGTAAAGTTTGAGGGAACAATCGTATCTAGCATTTTTAAGATTTGCAAAGTGCTTTACAAATATATCATATTTTTGTTCTCACAACAACCCTGGGAGAGAGGTGCTATTATTATACTTTACAGGTGGGGAAACTGAGGCAGACAGCGTTTAAAGTGACCTGCTCAGGGTCTAAGGTTATATTTGAGATCAAGTCTTCCTGGCTCCAGGCCCAGTGTTTTATCCACTTGGCCACCTGGCTGCCTTGGTTCTTTGGTAGAGAAATTTTATAAAACGTATGAGACTATTCAACTCATTTATTCTGTTGGTGCTTTTCCTTTGGAGGACTTAATGGTACTTTAATGGTCATTTCTAAGACTTAGGGATTGGGCCAGAGGTTGGGGGTTGTGCAGCTCATCTTGGGGCTGCATGTTCTCAGATCGATTGCCTTCTTTGTCATCCCCTGGATACCACCCCCAGCATGCCCACTGTGCCCACATGCCTGGGTTTTCCCCCTGTCACTACCCTGGGCCAGGCTCTTACCTCAAGCCCAGCTTGGCCTTTGAATGCCCTGCCTCCACACTTCTTCCCCCAGGTTTCCCTGGTTTCTTTCAAGTTTCAGCTCAAATCCCGGCTCCCAAGAAGCCTTTCCCAGTGCCCCTTGCTGCTATCACCTTCCCTTCCAGACTACCTTCGATACATTGTTTATCTCCTGTGGACCTTGTCTTTCTCGTGTTGTCTCTCCCAGTGGAATGTGAGCTTCTTGAGGGCAGGGACAGGTTGTTTTTTTCTTCCCCTTTTTTTGTATCCCTAGTGCAGCACACAGTGCCTGGAGCATAATAAGCACTGAATAAATGCTTTTTGATTGCTTGATTGAATGGACTTCTCTGCTTTCATTCAGTTTCTTCAGGCAAATTTATACACTGTTGCTGACTTAGATTCTTAGTCAAGTCAATTACTAAATAGTTATTAAGCACCTACTATGTACCAAGGACTGTGCTAATGCTGGGGATACAAGAAAGGCATAAGACAATTCCTGTCCTCAAGGAGCTCATGCTCTAATGGGGGAAGACACATGAAAAGAAGTTAAAAAGCTGGGGAGGAGGTGGAGGGAGAGCAGGGAGAAAGAGGCTACTTTTTGCCAAGTGGGAAATGACAACGTGGCTGGCTGCTTTGGGCAGCCTCCTTAGATGGAGGATCCAGGAAGAGCCCTGTATGTCCACCCCCACCTTCTGCAATCAGGAGAGGAAGGGGTCCTAGGGACAGGGAGTTCTGAGGAGGTTTGAATTTCAGAGCTGATTTCATCTTGGGATCATGAAGTCCAGGAAAACAGCTGGATGGGAAATAGTGAGATGAATTCTCTGGGTGCCCTCCTTAAATGGTAGTATAGCTCTTAACCCTTCCACACCTAACATTAACCTTCCCAAAACTGTGCAAAGACTATTTAGGACCTCCTTGGGCTTGCTGGAGCAAAAGCAAACTTCAGGGAAGGCGGAGTCCTTCATTAACTGGCTTCTTCAAACTGTGCCTTTGCTTTTCAACCCCTTTTTTCTGATATAACCTTTACCATCTCTTCTCTCCAACCAAAGTTGTAACCAGCAAGTAATATGTCTAGGACAAGTGTCATACACACACACACACACACACACACACAGACACATGGACACATATAGACACACAAACACACAAAGATTTCAAGTCAACTTTTAAAGACTGATAAGTAAAAGTACGTATAGAATGATTTTGCATATATATGTATACATAGTGTATATATGTGTATGTAAAAGTATATATAAAAGTATATGTGTCAAAGTAAAAGTAGGTATAGAATGATTTTGCATATATATGTATATATAGTATATATGGTATCTATATAGTGTATATACATATATATGGTATACACACATATTTGTGTCTAATGGCGGCCCTCTCTAGGGCGGGGGAAGGAAGAGAAAAAAGGGGAAAAAAAGAAATTTACATGATAACTTTATTATATATTTAAAAGGAGTAGCAAGTTGTATATCATCATCATTATCACCATCACCATCATCATCATCATCATCATCATCAAGACATAATCAGAAGGAGGCTCCAGGACACCCTTTAATGATGGGGAAAGTTTATTTATTCCTGGCTTAGTTGTTTCTAGTTGCTGAGGAACTAGAAGTACTGTCAGTGGTCCTCTACATTTTGTATCTCCCCCCTCCCCCTTCCCCTTTCCTCTCTTCCCTTCCCTGTCCCCCACCCTGCCCAGTGGCCAAGCCCTGATCTTCCTGACCCAGGTATGGCTCTGACTCCAGCCAAGACAATCTGCTTCTCACCCCGCCTCCCCCACACTCGGCTTGCTGTGTCCCAGTCTATGCTTTCATACGTGCCAGAAATCATGCTCAGGCGGACCTCCCTGAGCACTGGCCAGCAAGTGATGTCCGTTCTCACCTTTAATACCAGTTTTAAAACTTATCTCCTCCAAGAAGATTAGCCTGATTAACCCTGTTCCCCGGGAACAGCTTCTTCCTGATTGCCTACTGCACTCACCAGCTCAGCGTGTCCTGTGATTTTTCCTTTTGGGATATGGTGCTACGTTGGTGGTCCATGACGATTCTGGTTCCTCTGCTTTCTCTTCTGAAATGTATGGTAAGTTCCTTAGGGGAAATAGTGTTCATGGCTTCTTTTTACATAGGCAAGTACCAGGGAACACTGGATTTGTAGGAATGAAGCTATAATTATCCCAAGGAAAAATGGGGCTTTGTCCTAGCTTACCAATATTGAGATGGGGGTTGCTTCCTTCCTGCCAGGACATACCCATGCCATGGTCACTAGGGTTCCTTCTTCTCGTGTCCTGGTCTTCCTCTGGTTTAGAGTCATATGGCCCAGCTGCTCTTGGGTTGACCATGGGCAGAGTCTCCCTGGGAAAAGGTGTGGTCTGTCCTGCTTACCCTCAGGGACTGGTGAAGAACGAAAGCCTGGGGCCTGTCCCCAAAACATCCCTCTTCTAGACCGGCCTTCTTCTCCGACACCAGAGGCTCAAGAATTAAATTACCCATTTTTCTAGTGCAACCTCAGTCAGACTTTCTCGTGTTCTCTCCCTCCCCTCCTTCCCTCAACTGTTTCTGCCTTGGAAGAAATATTTCTCAGTTATGGATCTGCAGAGGCCCTGGCTTTGAACCCTGGCTTTACTGCTTGTTTGTGGCCTTAGGAATGTCATCTGTTTAGGCCTCAGCTTCCTCATCTGTAAAAAAAAAAAAAAAGGGAATTGGATTAGATGACTTCTTAGATTCCTTCCTGCTCCAAACCCTATGATCCTAGAGTTTGTATGGAATGGGCACTGAATCAACGCTCACTGACCCAATGTTGATTTTGTAAGACTTGTAAAAATAGTACTCCCTTAGAAGGAAGGAAAGAAGGGAAGAAAGAAAAGAAAGAGCAGGTTGTTCCATATGTGATTTCATGGGCTGAGTCTCTAGAGCAAGGGACAGTAAGTAACCTCTCAGAAACAGGTGAGAAACCTTTATTTACTCACTCCGATTGAAAGCCTCTCATTCCAGTAATGCACTTTAACATATAGTAATATCTTTTATTACACATTAAAACTATATATGTGTGTGTGTGTGTGTGTGTGTGTTGATGGAATCACAGATCAGCACAAAAAGCTTCCATAAATCACCCTTCTGGTTCTGCCTAGAAGATCAAAGCCCCTGCAGAACATCCCTTCCTCAGAGGAGCTCTTCCTAGTGTCTGG